TCGCATGAGGCAATTGCGTGCATAATTGTATATCAGATATGCAAGAAAATTATAGAATATGTATAAACTCTTTATATAAATGTAATTATAATAATATATAAATACATAATTTTGCGTGTAGTAATTAAATAACTTATTTTTTTTTAATTTGAAAAGAACTTTGAAAGAAAAAAAATAGATGTGGCATGTCTTTTATTCACTTATTTCTGGACTTTAATGTAAGCGAAATTTGCTGTTACAAGAGAATATTTTCAGATTCAAACCTTTCAATAACATTACCGATATCAGACGATTAAATTCTTGCTGCACACGAAAAAAATAAGGAAAAAACGGTAACGACCGAAATTTCTGTAAATGATGTTCTACCAGCTTTTTCCATTTTTTTTTTTCTGTAGCAAAACAAAATTTAAAAAAAGTAATTTTGAAGAACCCATGACTAATGGAAACTAAATTTTGTATATATATATTTTTTTAAGATATTGAATTTCTAACAAACAAGTGCGGCTTATACTCAAATTTTACTCTTATTTTCCAGCATTAAATATAAAAATTTTGCACATTTGTGATATGGATTGGGATAAGATATGAAAACGCAACATATGGACATCCGCCAATACGAGGGGTGCCTCCCGGGAGGACTTTCTATGGGGAAACTGGCTCTTAAACAGGAGCCAGTTTTCCATAGAAAGAGTTAGATACGTGGGAAATTGGCTCCTATTTAAGAGTTAGATACGTGAAGAAAACCCGAAAAAATCCACATTTAGTGGTTTTATCCACTCGGCTACTGATGTACACCATTTGAGACATGTATATATAGAAAACAAGCATGAAAATTTGCAGTTTATAAATATAAATTTGATTTTTTTTTAATATAACGAGCGTTTAAAACGTAGTTAACCAATGTAACCGTCTCATCTAAATACTTAATCTTGTTATTTACCGTGTTCAAATGTTCTAAACTCAATTTTAGTATTCATATTCGCGAGTGTAACCAGAATACAAAACACGGTCAATTGACTTTTGGACTACACTGTATTTTATCTCAATGTTTTCATTGTATAGATAAACAGGGTGACCTAAAAGTTAGTTAATCACCGTAAAGACTAAATTGCTGTCTTATTCAAATATTTACATAAAATTTTTAATTATTAAATGAATATTATACACGTTTTTATCACTGTATTCGACATTTTTAATATTAAACATTCAATAATGGCCATTCTTTCGAAAAATTTCACAAACATACATATAAAAATAACCTGAAAACGACGACCACCTCCGAACAGTAGCCATTTTTTACGTTCCTCTCAATGGTCGTTGTTTAGAGGTTTGACCAAAAAAAAATCAAATTGGCGTCAGATTAAACGTCAGATAAATAATTAAAAAATTAATACAATAAATTCGAATGTTTAATCATTAAAAACACCTTACATTTAATTTTATTTATAAAAATCAACAAATTAATACAAATATTCATCGACCGAACTTCATGAATAATTGCCGTTTTGAATTTTAATGCTAAATTTAAGTGCTTATTATACGCCACACTTTTATTTTATTTATTTATTTCCTTTAATTTTTTGGAAAAAAATAAATAAATCTGAATTTTTAAAAATTAGAACACGCGTTGGGAGGCCTCAAAAAAGGCGCCCTTTCGACCAAAACTTCGTGTACGAGAAGAGTTAATAACATTTGTTTTGTTTGTAAAATCGTTATAGTAACGGTGTAAACATTAAATAATTAATGCAACACACCATATCGAAATTTATTATCTTCAAAATATATTAATAAGTTTATCAATAAAAAATATATTAAGTTCAAAAGTTAAATTTACCGGTAAATTATTTCGCTGGACACGATTGGACAACTGTACGAAATTTCTCTCCACCCCCGTTAACACGTGACAATCAATTTCCGTCCATTCATATCCGTCTTTTGAAAAACTGTCAACAACTATGGGAAGTGGTGCAGCAGGCAGTCTTCTTTTGTGACGTCAGAAAAATTCACCGGAATTGCGGTTACCGACAAATGTTCCCATTTAACTAATATTTAACGATTTTTCTTTTTAACACTTTTGCTTCATTTTATGTGTCTCGTAACACACTACTAAATGGTGTTGTTGATGGAAATTTTTAACCCTTTACCTTCTCACAGTCAACGATCTGAAGTAAGACAATACCTTTGACTGAATCTGAGAGTTTTTACTTCCTGTCTGTCTAAGAAAGGGTTCAATAACTCATAAATGAGATACGTTGCCTCAGAGACGATGTTATGTTGTCGTACAGACTACTGGTTACCTCTGAGTTACTCTTTCTTTTACGTACCACACAAGATATTGTCTCGGATACGTTGATTCATAACGTTAGATAAACTACAGATAAACGCGTTACGTTGCTTCATGAACAACAATTCGTTTGTATATTTTGTGTTGCGTTATTCATATATATAAATTCCTCAAAGATTAACGCTAATTTCAAACAATATTTTCGTATATAATATCAGAAAATGTGTGTTACCTGCCCCTATAAGCAATACGTTACCGCGCTGCCGACTGTAACAATAGATAAAGGATCACTCGATAGACAATAAGATGCTTACAGACTATGACAATACACTACGTTCTGTGAGGTAAACCTATCTCAGTAAATATAACGTATTGTTAATTTAAAGAATGGTAACGCAATATGCTATTTCTAATACACATTGTATTGTAGCGTAATCAATAAGTTAGCTTAAGAAAATTCATAAATCCAGTTGTTTGATATATCTCTTGAAACAACTGTTCTGACGCATTACGCATTTCAGACAAACGTTACGCAGAATACAGAGTATCAGAGCTACGTGTTAACAAAACAGAACGTATTAAAGACAATACGGTGTACTAAAAAAGAATAAAATTTCTTCATAGATAATAGATTCCAGGAAGACAATAAAGTTGTCCGATGGAGACTATCAATTACCTCACAGAAATAAGTTACCTCAAACCACATTAGCGTAGAACGTTATATTGAAGAAAATGTCTGGATTTTTGTTCATCTAAACTAAGTTATGACCCAAAACCATTAAGGTCAAACGGCGCTCAGTAGAGGGGAAAAAATCATCTGTACTTAACGAGAAACGACATCCTTCAACAAGTGACAAACTACCAGCGAATCCCGAAGCTAGCACCAAATCTGTGACAATTAACAAAGAACAAAATGGTTCCGGCATAATTAACAGTTCAAGAATTAACCGAAAGAGTTTAATTTGCCGAGTAACCCAGTATTTTGCGAATTAATTCGAGCATTTCGGCGATGCCATTGTATCTCTTGTTTACAGATTAAACGTAAAGAAAACAAATAAATGAATAAAAATCCAAGCGAACAAAATTGGAAAATATGTTTTCCTTGACGTATTTTCGGTTTCCGTTACCGATTACGTACCAGAGTTTCTGAACAGGACGAGCAAGAGACTAGCAAAGAGCAGAGAGGGACACGAAGTCGTCAATCTTTGTTGTTTGGTCTGCTTGTTGCTAGGATACCAACTGAGGAAGAGAGGTTAGCCAACTTCTACAATGTCTCGAGACAATCGATATCCCCCTACACCAACAGACGTAAGATTGCCTAGCTGGCAATAGAGAGAAGGTAATGCACATCTGAAGCGAGTCGTGCCTGCTTGCCAATTAGTCGGAGCCGCTAATGTATAAATGTCATTATAGAGATGCAGGCAAGCCATTGGTCCGACGATTGCACTCCCTAGTGATAGATAATTAGTCATTTAGTAGAGCTGTTTAATTATGGCGCTTGTCCTTTCCTTCCACTATCCAACAAAATCGCTCCTTAACTTCTATCTATCTTTCTCTGTATTTTTCCATCTTTTTAAAACACCAAATTAGGTTCAATTGGAGTGTCATTTAAAGCCACCCCTATCGATTATTACCTTCCTTTTTTTTTTATTTTTACTAATTCGCACTTATATGCCGGTGTTTATCGATAATTAACCATTGATAACTTTTATCAACTTAATTATTTAGTAGTATCAACCCTCAACTTCTTGGAATTGTCGAGAGAGGGCGCGGCAAATCAGGAAGAGACGAGTCATGACGACAGAGACAAATCTTCTTGTTTATTGGTTGTCTAGCTCGCCATTGATCCTACGTCTACATCCGGGTAACGGGTGAATATTACCGTGATCCGGTTGGTAATAACTTCCCAGCGGGTTAGGTATCAATATGTTGGATAAAGAAAAAAATAATAAAAAGAATTATATAAATTCTTTGCTTTTTCAGCCAATTCGTTTGTTTTTATTGATAAACATTAAAGTTTTTTTTACCGAATAAAATAAATCTAAACCATTATCTTTCTTATCACAGCGATATGGCGGGTGAATATTATGATATAAATTATCTCTCGACAGTTTCCGCTTCCCCCAGACTCTTTTTAAATAGTTTAAAATAAAAATTTTAATTTAAATAATGTATTCCTGATAAAGTCACCGATTACTTTGGAAAATAAGAATTTAAATTTTAAACAAACCAATCAGCGTTAAATTTTTACGGAATTTAAATTTTATATTTCAATTTGCACGAGTTGATTGGTTGAAAGTTCTTGTTAGCGCCAGATTTATCCAATAAGAGGCAAATTTGGTTACTATAGTAACAAAGAGTAATTTTTTTGTTTTAATTTACAATATTTAATTAGTTATATATATTTTTTTATATTTTTTTAATAAAAAATTTGTGTGTATATATATATTATTGCATTGTTTAAACATAATAAACAAAAGTGAATAATTAATGTTAGAAACAGGAAATGAAATTACTTTTTAATAAATTTTTTGATATTAAAAAAAAGATTAAATTATTTATCATTTTTACTGGTTTTTGCTTCAAGTTTTATTATAAATTTTACTATAGTTTTATATATTTATTATTTGGGGAGTTATGGCACTTTGTTTAACATACCCAACAATAGATGGCACTGTAACGAATTGGCATTTTTGAAATTTAAATTTTGTCTTACCTCTTTTATACACTGTAATCTTTCATTAGTCTGTTGAATATGTCTTTCCATAGCAGTTGCCATGACAATCTTCATAAACCGTACTCCTTCATATCACCCAATGGGGCAGCAAAGGATGTCGTCTCCCATCGCCACCTGGTGCGAAAAACAAGAACTACCGGTTACTTTTCCATGAAATTTTTCTTCTTTTTGGATGTCGTTCTCACTTCACAGGAATTTTTTTTTCTGGAAAATTCGTGTGTTTTTTAACCTCTAATTAAGAAAAATTTGTTGTAACAAGCGCAGAGTTTGCGTTTTTCAGATTCTGTTGCCGAAAAAAACACAAAAAAAGGACTAAAATTTTCAAAAAGAAACCAAAAAAAGGAAGAGAAACTAATTTTAAAACCACTACAACTATTTTTAGATTAAGGTCGAATACTAGAAACACACGTACTTCAGAAAGAATGGAATTTCGGCGATTGGTTTTGTTTATATATAAATAACCTCCTATCGATCACGTGACGCGCGCTCTCTAGTCTAGTTATATAAATAGTAGCACAGGACTATAACTCCTCACAATTTGGCCATAAAAAACCGCTGGTATATAACTTATTGTTAATTTTATCTCTAGACTTATAGACTATCGCGCCGTATTGACTCACTAGTGTGAGGAGGAAGAGGTCACTGGTTGCTTTGCTTTTGCGATAGGTGGTGTGTTGGGTCACGAATGAATCAATACATCCTCGGCGTGCAACTCCCGAGCGACTAACAGCTCTGAAACACGAAAGTTCCAATTACACAAGCGAGCCACGTGGTTAAACCATTGCACGGCGTGCACGTGCCCCCGAAATCGACACACCGCAAAGCCACCAAAAAATTCACCAGAACTTGTAGGTTTTAATTATTTTTGCATGTAGGCAGCTTTAACAGTAATTCCCTTTCGGCACCCCGATGAGAACGGGATGGGTTGTCAACAGACTTGCTTCAGATTTTTGCCAGAATGTTGGCACTAAACACGTCATGTCATTGCACCGCGTTGCGTTGTTGTGTAGCAGAAGACAAGAGGAATTTTGGAAGGGAGAATGGCCCCAACGTCTCTCTCTCTCCCACGCTAAAGGTTCAGATATTCTATTCCGGTCTCGGTTGAAAAACGGCAGGAAAAACATACACACTCCCCCCTTAAAAATCTCACCTAAAATTAGTTTTCGTTTTCGATAATAGGAACACACACACACACAAAATGCACACAGTACACGTGCAAAGCACTCAGAAACAGCATATGTCTAACCCATATGTGGAAATATAATTTTCCGCTGAAACTTGAAACTTCGCGTGGCGGGTAACGAACCAACTTATTACTAAAGTAGTATATTTTGGGTTTTTGGTATATAAACACAACGATAAAAATATTATACAGAGTAAAGAAAGGTTGATAAACGTGTCAACTCCATTTTATTATTGTTTTGACTGACTAACTGGTGTGGTGCTACATACAGGGGGAAAAGAGGGAGAAAGAGTTAGTGATACAGGTTAGACTCTGTTAATTCGGTTTATGAGACGGGACTGTCTGATTTGGACAATTCTCTTTGGATTACTGCCAAGGCAACATCACGTGATCGAAAGGGAGTGGTTGCCAGTGACGTGGCAGCTGCAAAATGATTTTGTTCGCTTCAAAAGTTATGCATTTTTTTCGCTCTCTCTCTCTCCTTCTTTCTCTCCCCTTTCTTTTCTTTATTTCTTACAACACTAGAAAGAGAGGAGAGGAAAAAATTTTTTATTCATTTATTTATTTTTCTATATACTCTGTATATACGAAAAAACAATTCAACTATAACAGTTTTATAAATAGTAATGAAACTTGTGCTTTTTATATATATCTACTATCTCTAGGTTCAGCAGATAAAGAGAGAGAGAGGGGGGGAAAAGTTTTTTAGAAAGTAAACATAAGCCTTATTTATAAACTGAAGAATTTTTGAAAGGTGCAAGAAAAAAAATTCATTTTTAATATTTTACATCCTCCTTCAATATTTTAGAAGACTACAAAAGGATGTAAAATTATTTCTTATGACAATAAATTAGCGCGGGTTTTTCATTTATTTGTATTCTTTTTCAAATTTTAAAAACGTATAACCGTTAAAATCACGTGTTCTCTCCTTTGTTACGTCAAACAGTCAAAGAATGAGAGAAGGAATAAGCTGTCACTCGTAACAAATACATTAAAAAAAAGTAAGAAAAAATAGAAGAAACAATCAAGGTTTGAAGAAAATTGAAGACATTAAACTGGCTTTTCGTATAAAACAATAATAAAAAGGAAAGTAATCATCTTTCGTTTTAACTAATAATAAATTACCGAAAATTTCGAAGAAATGAAAGAATAAAAAAAAAATTCTTTAAATACAGCTGTCGCCGTTAGGTGCGCTGCAATCGAGCAATAAACGAGCCATAGGAGTTTAGGAAGAAGGGGGAAGTTTGGAATCAATCACTTTCTCTGTTGCCAAGGCGACACACTGTCGATTTTAGTCCTGCAATGACTGCAATCAACATCGCAGTAGAGTTGACTGTGGCGACTTGGGACAACACTCCAAGAGAATTAGAGAGCAACAAACTGAACTGCAAGGACAGTGATCTATGTGGCTGTATATGGAGGGTGTATGTCACGTGCTCAAAGTGTAGACAGCTTCCATTCGGCAAATTACAACTGTCACATTGGTAACCCTGCCTGTCGTAAGGAGATTTATAGTGATGTATGAATCTGGTAAATTCTACCAACAAATAGGTGAAGATGGCACCCGTTTATGCTGTTCTTTCCATAAATCATTTAATTTTGATGAGCGTTCTTGGCTATTTTTTTTTTTTTAGATTCAACGTGGCTGAGATCGGGCAATTATTAAACTTTTAACAAACAAACGAAAAAAATGTTAATGCCGAAAATTTCGAGATGAAAACTTTACCCCGGGATATACATTTTTTAAATTCTTTTATGCTCGGTCGATATCGTTTCATAATTTGTATCGACGTCAATAACGAAAATACACACCAAAATTCATGCCCCTCGAACATGCATAGATTCCAGGAAGTGAAACTTATCGGATTCCAGGACGAATACACGTGTTGAGTGATAGAAGTAACAGCAGTCACGCGTATCTCGTCTGGTATTTTGTCACCTCCCTTACAATTACAGTCTTCAAATTGGGGCAACGAAGAAATTTGTATGCTTTCGTATAATGCAAACTCCAAATGGTATCTTCTATTATAGTAGAGAATAGTTTCGAGTAGCATTACAACGAAAAATCCGTGGGTGGTTCCTGTCTTCGTGTTTCCACAAGATGGCTTTAGTCTCTCGTAGCGTGTGCAATGATGTGTATGTGATATTTGCGTGAAAGGTATAGTAGGAAGCGCCTTGAACTCTTCACAATGATACAAGAAATGCATTTTAAATCTGCAAACAAAATCTTGCTTGCTGACATTTCTTAATGTTAAAGTATGTTCTTATGTTTTATTTGTGAATAAATTAACTTACCCATTTGAAAGTAATTGCTTCGTGAAAGCTAGCACCACTATCTCTTACAGTATCATCAAGTATGGGCTTTGTCATACAGCATGAGTTATAAAGTGATCACGTATCGTAGACTTATAACTCTTGCATGATTTATATGTAATTTTAGTCCACATATATTCTTAAAATTGACATAAACACCATGTTAAATATTTAGCATTATCGTTGTCTTTTGGATATTCTATGGTATTAATGCCATAAATTATGATAAGTTCTATTGAGCATTCATTAATAATATCCTAATTTTCTGCTTTTTAAATTAATTACTTTACAGATTAGATGAGTTCTCTACATTTTTATGAATTTTATCAACAAAGTTCCATAAATTTACATTATCCAACGATTTCTTCCGTGGATTCTTTTAAGATTTGTAAACAAAAGTTAGCATTTAAAGAATTCTAACGGCTAAATGTATGAAATATTAACGATTTATACTCGGTAAGATCATGTACCGGTACACTTTTGTGTATTTAACAAAGATTAGAGAAAAAGTTCTTGTCCATCTAGAGTTTGGGCAATTGGAACTTGTCCACGAAATTAAACGAGAAGCTTGCCAATTACTGTAAGTTATCCAGAGTTGCCTACACTTTAATCGAACTATTCGACAATCTTCGTTAACGGAAATAGTCCACAAATTTATTTATCTTTAAGACGAGTTGCAATGGATAACTTAAGCCCATCTTAAGAAGCAAACGGTTACAAGACTTGAGGCATGTTCAGGCAACGTTCAAAAAAGTTTATTTTCGAATTAACTCTTTAACAATTTTCTAAAAATGAACTCCTATATATATTCTTGATGCGATAACACCAATTAGATCCATTAAAGGCGAAAATCACGTCACAAAACAAGCGTAGAAGATTATCCAATCGTGAAACTTCTCTGAAGACATATAACGTTATCGCATCGCAACTTAATCAGAAAGGCAACGTTTGATTGGTGGAATTAGTAGTATAGATGCCTGAAGAGAATACTTTCAAGGTTTTAATTTTGTTTGCCAAGATTAATGAAGTTAAAACGATGGTAATTAATTAGCAGGCAGATCTAATGCGTCGTTAACTGGGTTGCAGGAATTCCAATTAGTAGAAGAGGGGGAGTCAATTTTTAATAAGCCGTTAAAGGCGAAAGAGAATTCGTTTTTTTTTAAATATATTTTTGTTATTTTTTTCTTTCTTAATGACTCTTGAATTTTTCTTGTTACTTTAAACAATGCATTTTGATTTTTGTTTTATTCTGTTTATTTTCTGCTGCCATTTTTGATTGGATTTTGATCAAGAAAATAATCCGTTAATTCAAATTTTTTTCCGCCCCTTTAATCCCTACATTGTTACGTCATGCGATGTTTCGAACTAGTATTCGTGACGTTGCTTCTTTCTTAGCCAATAGAAACCGATTCCAACAATTTTTTTCTTTTTAATACTTATCACGCAAGCGCGTTTCGTTACACGGACAAATGAGGGAACTTTTTATGTAGGGAAAAGATTTAGGGAAATTTCCTTAAAATTTTTTGCTCAAACTAAAATATTTTAAAATGTTACAGTTCGAGATTTAGAAAAATTTCTTCTAAATCATGATTTTTATCTCAATGATTGTATAAAATAA